TTTTTATTAATTGAAATCAAAGTGTGTTTTACAAGATAGTTTTCGATTAAATAACAATGCTGTATAAGTATTATTGGCAGTATTGTGGTGTGAGCTACTTATAAGTAGTATATAACGTGAGTGTCAACGTAATGTCTGGTAGCAGAAGATGGAGGAAGATCAAGAAAGTAAGAAGAGTGGGAACACAATGGAATTTGTATGAAACGCATGAATAGTGACAATGGATTGATGTTTTGCAACAGGAACAGTCCAGTTCGATAATATGATGAACTGATATTTTGCAAATTAACTAACGATTTACGATATGGTTTTCCGATTTTACTACTGAGTAACTCTGTAATTTTCGTTAAATACAATTTGATTCGGTTGCCCCACCTGTGTTCTCGTTCACTACAGTATGATTTAGAAATTGCTGATCCTGAAAAACACAAGGAACCAATCTTTAAATAGGCTACTACGACTAACTTATATTATTAAATCGGCTTATGAAATATTTCTGATTGTCAAATTCATGATACGATTAACTATAAAAAAATTGCTTTGTAATCCCATGCAATGGGTTCCGTTTATGAATTTAAACAACAACTGAGGTAAACTAATGGGAACCTATTTTTGTTTTGTGGTTTCTTATCATCTGCTTACAACTACGTGTAATAATGTATAACAGTGAGATGATATAACATGAAGCAATTGACATTAATGACGGAAGAAGTGTATGTATAATCTGTGCACGAAGAGATATGTGATGTTATTTGAAGATGGAATTTAAAGACATAGGGAAGAGAGAGAGAAAAGTCAATTAATAAAGTCCAGAAACTGATAACATGAATCATGTGATAATTACAGAAGTTCAATATCCAATATCTTTTTCACAAGCTAGTGTAAACCAATTTGATTTCTTCGCGCTCGATTCTTGTTCTTTCGGTACGGTTCCAGGTGTTCGGTAATGTCCAATGGATGGAGGCCTAGCCACTCGACTGTCTAATTCTAGTCAGTTGGTAGTTGGTTGTGAGTTTGTATGTCTCGGGATTTGAATGAAACGTTTGTTTCAGGGCAGTAGGGTTTCTAGATACTAGCAGCCGTAACATTACCAAACCGGAGATCAGTTGGTTGCAATGTGAAGAGTAATAAGAGTAATAAGGATAAAATTAAAATGATAATATGAGTAAAATTTCAGAACTGAGTAATATATAGATGAATTTAGTTTATTAATTGGTAGTGAAGATTGTGAGAGAGGACCGAAGTGTAAACAAGGGAGAGGAAACAGGGATAATATGCGAGATAGATTAAATGAGTGATCTGAGGAGATGGCAATGGTAACAACTAGCAGGTATCAAGATATGCATCAGGCACAGCTTGTCCAAGAGGGAGATGATAAACCGTATGAGGGTACGTAATTATCAAGTCTCTTCTTAAAGCAGTCCACTGAGGGGGCTGTAACTACCTCGGCTGGGAGAGCATTCCAAGTTGCGACGACTCTCAATGAGAAAAAGTGTGCACGAATCTGAGTATTTGCTCTTTGATGTGCAATATTTCGAGGATTCCCTTGAGGGGAGTGGTCGTGATACATCGGTAAGATGCTCACATTGGGATGGTTTGGCGTGTTTAATATGGTGTACGCCATAATCAGGTCACCTCTGATTCTCCTGTAGCTCAGTTGGAATAATCCCAAGAGCTGGAGTCTATCGTCGTAGGGTTTATTTTTCAACCCTATCACCCATTTGGTTGCTCGTCTCTGCACTCGACCCAAGAGATTAATGTCTCTTTTAAACAGAGGGCGTGCGATGACGTTGTGGAGTGTTTGAATGAATGTCGGATTAAATCATGAAAATGAATATAGATGATTTAGAGAAAGGAGGTAGTAATTGTCTTGCATGAGAAATTGAAATATTTCGTAGTAAGTAAGCAAGATTTCAAGGGGTCTATAAAAAAAATTTCGAGTAAATGAAAGGATAGTTTTGGAGTACAGTAGAATTAGTTTCGCCAAAAAAATCATTAAATCTTATTAAATAATTATTTCTCTAAATTGGTTTTCCATGTGAATTTCAAATATTCCATGGTTAATCAATTCGACATTAGACCAATATTTGTGTATTTAACTGAAGATTCCTTCCTTTCCGGAAAAATGTCTTATCTATATACTTAATATTAGTTTTATTAATAGAATCTAGATAATGGTAAATAATTTGTTTCTGATTACTCTGAAACTGATAATGAATACCTAAATCACTTTTAAGTATTAATAGATTGCTGTTGGATAGTATGACCGGTAGTGTTTCACGTACAAGCTGCTTACTATTAGGAGACAACCACAGCCTATCAGCCTTATATCGTCAATATTATGATGAGTGGTGCCCGAGATCTGAATGTAATACGCCATAACCCTCTTCAAACAATCTTCTTGAGTGAGGAAGCAAGAGTGGAAGAGGGAATCTACTTGACTACTGAATGATCGTCTCTATATATATGTATATATATACATCCCTTCCCCCTTTATGTCCTGACCAATGATAAGCATTCGTCCTTTAGAACTTCTCTGATGGTCATCAAATGACCTTCTTGTTCGCCCACTACCGATTAACTCTCTTCAATGTGAATCTTGACTAATCAATACCTAATAATGACCGTCTTTAATCTACATGACAGATATGTTAAAAGTGTGTGATATTCGAAAATAAAATTAACCAATCAGAAATCGCTTGTTTTATTACGAATAACTAACTAATTCATTTAAAGTTTATTGATTATTTAGTTGTGCAGTTTATAGGACATTCATCATGTTACACAAAAATCGCATTCTGACTCAGTGATTTAAACATATAGCAAACTTATTATCAGACTGAAAAAAGTTAGATTTGATCTCGTTTGGAGTTTGAAGGGATGGAATGGACATATAGTTGAAGATAGTTCAACTAGGATTATACAATTGTCTGGTTTTCACTACGTTTTAGCTGATGTCAATGAATGCTGACAACTATTTTCCATATAATTGTTGGAAAGACTTGGACCAGATGTTAGGATATTCATCCAATATCATAAGAGAATTATTGGTTTATTCCTATTGGCTAATTCCTACTCGTCAATTTTATGGTCGTCCTAGATATCAATGTCACGTATTCCAATGTTGTCTCTTATTGGTTGTCCTGACTATCAGTGTCACTTCAAACGCTGCTTCTGATTGGTCGTCTTAACTGTCAATGTCATAGACTTCTATGCTGTTTCCTATTCGACCAAAATGTATAAATACACATTATTTGTAACCTTTAGTGACCAGGACCAGGTCACGGTCCCGGACCCCTAGTCTGGGATCCTGATTCTCTTCTGGATTCAGACCTCGTACTTTCTGGATGCTTGTAGAATACAGGTTCTACTTCATATCAAGTCTTCTTATTTTAACTAAGTATGGGGATTGGGATAGTCGGATTTGAGTAGCATGTCGTGTCACCGGATCCTCGCTCTCGCGTTTCCGACTAGGTAAACTCGCAATAGTTCAAGTATATCAAGTTGACGTGTTTACGTGCAGGCGTAGCACCAAATGAAGTTTTTATTTAAAGATAATACTTAAGTACAAACCACTAACTTTATTAAATAATAACAACTTACATATATGAATGGTCACACACAGAATCTTTAAATAAACTTTCACATTTTCATCAGTTTAAATTTTTCTGTGGACCAAGTTACACTAGTTGAAGCTTTGATTTTGATATCGATGAACAGCTTAAAGCACATATATGTGGTCAAGATAGTTTGGAAGTTGGTGACATGTACTAATATATGGAGTCCACATGACTCTTCTTAGCTTTTGGATAAACAAACTTAACTTCCATGCCTAAGCTACCATTATCACGTCTTTTGACCTTATCTATAATTTTGGTTGTTCTTACTTGATTGCGTGCGCGCATTTCTTATCACATGTCTAGCCTATATTTTTGTCCAGCTATAAATACACAGTTATGTCTCATCGCATTGAGTTGGCTTACTCGCCTTCGTTTCTCTTTGTATTCTCATATCTGTCTGAGTGGATGACTGCATGAGATAAACTCATCCAACTGAATCCATATTTGGCTTCTTCTTATTGCTGTCGCACTAATGAGGTTCGCTTAAGCATGTTATTTAAAACAGATCACGGGCCACTAAAGATAAATTGTAATACCTTAATGCTGTTTAAAGAGTATGGAACAGAAACTAGATATTATTCTTATGCGTTTTCATAGTATTTAGGTAAAGAACTTATCCACTGGTGGTAAAAAGCGATCTTATTACTTATGAGAATACTTTATCTTTTCGAAAGAAATTCCCGAGGACGTATTCTACACTGATCAAAGTTGAGATGTGTATATACATATAAGATTGTCCCTATTCATAGTAATGACCCTATGATTTAGTCAGTCAGTTACAACGTAGGACTTTGTACGTACATAAGTCCAAGTTGCCATACCACGTCAGCACAGTGATGCAACTGTCAATTCGAATCCCATTATGGTAGAGATAATGGAAGTATTGGTAGTAATCGGAGAGATTAGGGCTCAACGATATTATTCAAGAAGTAGAATCTAAGGAATTATACTTAAAAAGTGATGAGTAATTCGGGAGGTTGGGATTTGAGAGAACACAATGAATGAATGCACCTGCGCTATTGCTAACGATGTTGAGCCATGTCATTCAGGGTCTCCCTCTCTAACCATCGATTACTATCACCTCGCGGGCCCCAACCAGGTAGTCTACATCTACCAACATGACTCAGTACACTTGTCAGTGACTTCATGGATTTCTGCCATGTTTTGATCTGGCCGCCCCTAGCTTTCTTCCAACCTACTCATACACTGCAAAACATAGCTCGACGAGGCAGTCGGTGGTTAGGCATAAGCAGCACATGTCCCAACCACCTCAACTGATGAAGTTTCACCACTTCATCTATTGATCTGCCATTCTTACCTAGCACTCGTTTTCTAACAACAGTATTGCTTACTCGGTGTTCTCAGGATACACACCCTTATGTAAGGTTCTTATCGATGGACTTGAGATACATTTTGTTTCTTTGTTTAAATTGAACCTCTCAATACATATAAAACACATCATGTATCAGCCCAATAAGTCAAAATTCAAATAAATTTAATGAGAAGACATTGACAAAATGAAAAAATTAAAAGAGTAATAATAATAATAATAATATCGACAATAGCAGAAATACATGTACACACTTATAGGCACCTCATTCATATTTTGAAATTACAAGATATTCATCAAATCATCACAGTACTACCTTCTAAAAAAATAAGTAGTATATATGCATATAACTCAAAAGAAGCGATAAATTAAAAGAAACACAACACAACAGCCAATCACTAGGCCTAAAACAATTGAATCTTGTTTGTGTCGCCAATCGATTTTATTGATCAATTTCTTAACTTGTGGAAAGCGGGAGCTTAAATTCGATAAACCTGTTGAAGCAGTGCGTAATGCAAAGCGTTGAGCACGTAATGCTGCTCGTATTGTTGATGCTGCAGCTAAATGTTCATCCAATAGACGGTTAGATCGATGATATTTTTCTTGTTCATCTAAAAGTAAACGAGTTGAACTAGATATATTTGATTGTAATCCAGAGCGTTGATTACCACCGGAAGAATCTGTATCAGATTGAGATTTTGGAGTAAAATCACCGCTTAGATTTATAGTTGTGGTATTTGTGTCTCTATAAACCTACACATTTTTATTAAAAAAGATAACGTGAAACACAGATAGGAGGAAAATATTAAATACGAAAAAACGGAATAGTAATTATAATCAAAACGGAGTCAAAAGACATGTAGTCTAATGAAACAATAAGTTAAAACTGCAGTTTATAGGCAAGGTTCAACATGCTGTTTTGAATGCCACAGTGTCTACTAAGCATCTTAGAATTCATCGATCGACTAGCCTACATACAATATGTAGTCTAAGTCACGCTTACTGCTCTTATATCAGCGACAGAATAAATTACAAAAGCTCATATGAAAGGCACGTGTATTAAAACCAGAATTTTATACACAATGTGGTTAAAACAATCGGCATTCAGCAGGTATGAATCCACTGTATCTACATTAATTTATAAAGTTGTTTAATATCATTAGTACTTCTCAAAAATTGTGACTTGAAGACATTAACTAATACTGAATGAATGAGTTGGATTTAACATTTACATCTGGCACTCAGAGTTTACTTAGAAATTCTTGTAATGTTGTAGTGAAGGAGAACACAGGTGAGAGCAACCGAATTGTATTTAACGAAAATTACAGAGTTACTCAGTAAAATAGGAAAACCATATCGTAACCGTTAATTTGCAAATCTTCAATCCATCATCAATCCATTGTCTGACATTTCACTGTTCATGCGTTTCATACGAATTCCATTGTGTTCTAACTCTTCCTTTCTTGATCTTGCCCCAATCTTCTGCTGCCAGACATTACGTTTACACTCGCGTCATATACTACTTATAAGTAGCGCGCACCACACTCGTCCCTCCCTTTTAATAAGCTGTCGTCGTAGTCTTTCTTATTGCCGTACCGTTGTCATCTTTGGTGCTTTTCGTGACTCATACACTTGATAATCTTGAAACCATCTCTGCAGTTGACTAGCATTTACGCGCTTCTGCTTGTCTTCTCTCCGGATCGTGTAAACCGCACCGCGTCTCTCCGTGATAACGTTTGGTCCTTCACACTTTAGGATCAGCAAAATCAATGGTAACTCTTTCTCCCAATCTCCTCCTTTAGATGCTAACCATTCCTTTAACGTCCGGTAGTTTCTCTCTGTAAGTCCGTTTATCTGCGGATGATAAGGTGTAGTTCGTATCCTATTGATGCTAAGCTGCTTTAGACGGGCTTTAAACTCGTCACTTTCAGAACAGGGACCCTGGTCAGTTAATATCACCTTCCGTATCCCGTGACACGCTACAATATGCCGGATTACCACTTCGGTCATTGTTCTTGCCCGCTGGTCTGGAATGGGTACGGCATCTATCCAACGTGTAGCGTTTACTAGTTCCCGCTGCTGGGACACGGCCGCAGGCACACTCTCGATAAATTGCGACACCAACGACTGCGCCCCCGACTCCCCAACCATACTCGGCAGCGCACGGTGCAGCAACATCGTGAGCTCCACAGCCAGCACCAGTGGGTCACAATCGACAGGAAACCTCGCCAACCGGAACCTCTGCGGCGCCTCCTCCCTGTCCACTGGGCCGACGGACTCCGTCACTATTCACTCCGTGACCGTCTCCCACGCCATCTTCCCGGCGGCACCGTCCAAGCTGTCGTATACAGCCTTTGCCTCACCTCCCCAGCACCACCAAGGTTAAAAGAAAGTTATTTCTAGCTTTCTGATAACGTTTCAAGTCATTGAGTCACACCATTTGTAGGACCTCAACCAAGGAGTAGTGAAGGACCAACAGGTTTTAATTGTGTACAGCTTTGCTTCATACCGCGAGACTATGTCATAGATTAACTCTTCACCTTTTCCAACCAGTTTTAGCGTTGACAAATAATGAACGATGTGGAATTCGCTGAGATGACATTCGTAGCACCATGTTCAAGCCACCGAAATAGGTGTTACAAGATGGTGACGCCAATTGAATTATCACTATTATGCCCGAACACACGTTGCCATACCTCGGCATTATTAACACGCTGTTGCCACTGAATGTCAGCAATCCTTCAGAGACAACGATGATTGAACACAGAGCTGCTTAACACCACCAACGCAGAGAGACCAAGTTTCACAAGCATAGAGCAAAACTGCTCTCACCAACACATCGTAGACTCGATCTTCTATAGTCAGACTAACATAATGAAGGTGTTAAAGATGGCCCAAACTGGCATAATCCATTTACTACACATGAATTGATCTCGTCGTTCAGTAGGAGACTTATTTCCCGGTAGTTATTATATAGATGAAGTGAACCTTTTTTAAAGATAGGGACAACTATCAGCTGACTCCATGATGTTGTAACACTTTATAGTTGCCAAACGTTTGTAAATAACTCAGTCAGTTTCATAGTCAGGTCGCCACCATCTTTGAAAGCGCTCGAAGTAAGTCATCTGGGACTGGTAAATTAACCAGTACAATGTTAATTTACTTCTTTGATACACCTTTCAATGGCTGTCACTAAACACAGAACCTTAAGATCAACAGAGTCAAACGCTGCCTTACCGTCAAAGAATATTAAGAATACACTAATAGCCTAAGAATATTCTCTACTTATATTGGCCATGTTTCACACCCATATAGTAGGACGGAGCGAAATGATGGGCAGTACACTCATCCTTTGTCTAGCAAACAGATATCTCGCCTGCACCATAGATGATGCAACTTGGCAAAAGCCAATCGAGCTTGCTGTATCCGTGCTGAGATTTCGTCTGTCACCAGGCTATCGACGCTGATGAGATTCCCCAGATAAGTGAAGTGATCAACACGCTCGACTACTTCACTCCCAATCACTAGTTCAGGTGCCGATGCAACCCAGTCTTGAAGCAACATTTTGCATTTCGACGTCTAAAAAGTCAGAAGATGAAAGTGTCAACTCTAATAGCATATCAACGACGAAGTTAAGAAAGAATGGAGAAAGTGGACAACCCTGACGAACAATATTTGGAGTAATCAATTGAGGTGAGCATCATTTACATGATAGTCTAATTGTTTTTCTAATTGTTCTTGAAATGTACTTTTGGCTTTTTTTTATCACAGACAACATTGATGATTAGACAGGCAGACAACCCTAGCAGTTGTCCGATCTGCATTAGTGTGCAAACGGTGAAGGAGGTCAGTTTGAATGACATAGACAGTTTGAGAAGGGCTGATTAAGATTTCGTATTCAGTAGTAGCATTCAACTTTTCATCAGTCAGTGACTTGAGATCGTTTAGATAGCAATACACAAAATAGGAATAGAAGAATAGACGAGCGACGCAACGTAAAATAGAAGTAAATGTTAGCAAATATAATTTTGAGTACGATTTGTGAGTGAGAATTGAATTTTCTAGTTGTAATTATCATAAAATGTGTGAACTGGGATATTGCCCAGGTGGCCGAACCGAACAAAAAAAAGTGTTATTTCAGTGAAAGGAATGGAAAAACCCCGTTTGGATACCATTTCACGCAACCAATGCACAACCTTAAAGGTATTTGAAGTTAATTCATCATGGTAATTCACTCTTCAAAAAAAAAGACTTTAATTATTTAATGTAATACAGTTAACAACTTTAGATAGTAGTTACATTTAAGTTAAGAGTAATTGAGGTTACCGAATAATGTCTGACATTTGTTAAGCGATTCACATTGATTTCATTCAGGGCATAGAATTCACATTAGAAAGATGATTAACGTATGACTTCGTCTGATAGGTTTATCAATTTAAAATACTACACTTCATGATAAAACAAAAACGTTTGGACCAATAAAATAAAAGTTGATAAAATAGTCGGATTAATGAGATTAAAATCGAGGTAAAAAGTGAACTCATGTCGAAATTACTTTTGAGTTTTACCGCTCGGCACTTTTAAGTGCACATATATCCTAGGTTCAAAGGGCTCCAGTTGTCTATTTAAGCAAATGAACACTAGTACAAAGCGATGTCTAATATTTATGTGCCAATTAAACCAACGAATTCGTGTGTGGGCCGACATGCAGCCCGGGTACCAAAACCGAGAGGTAAGTGATTCTCTTAGGCGTCTACTCCTCGAGTCTTCGACTTGAAAGTCTAATCCATGAGGTAGTGGAGCAACATTAGCAAATGCAGATGCGTGGCAGCCGGAGACTATTTGTTCTCTACGGATTCTGGAGTCCAAGTACCACACCGGCTTAAAATCAGTGTCTTCTGATTGCTCTGGCGGAATCTTCCGTACTTATAGATCTGGTTTGGTCGCTCGACATTAGCTTTTTGCCTTCTCAATTCCGTAAATAACATCCACACTGCAAGAAGGCAGTGGCTATATAGGCGTGGCCACTTGAGAACATTTGAAGAAGAGGAGCAGATTTTCCCCTCTCTTGACAGTATCAGAGCATTTGGGGGAACCTTATTATCCAGGTAATGAGGTACTGATAATTAATTTCCTGATTAAAAACCAAGTAAGACCATTTAAATAATAAACACCACTTACAGATCCTAGAAGGGTTTCACGTTCACGTGCAGCAATAAGTTTTGCTTTTGTTTGACGAAACTCCTGAGCATAATCACGAAGAATTTCACGATGTCGTTTAGCTGTATGCAGTTGACTGAGTCTACCAGCTGCCATCATATTAGTAGGGTTAAGTGGATTCCGTGTGGTACTATCAAAAGAGGTAGGTGTAGCTTCTGTTTCCGGAGCAAAAGTTGCCATTCGTTCATTGATTTGAGTAAGCCTATAAATTGACAACATGAAAATTAAAAAGTAAATTAAATTGAGTCTATGAAAATAACATCCTCAGTGGGGAAGATTTAGACAGCTTTGAACGAAATATGAATAGAAAACGATATATAGTTTTTGTTCACTAAAAATGAGTCTTATGCTAAAAAGAAGTTGACATAAAGTTTGCTCTGAGTTTCAGTAGGTCATTTTGCTGTTAGTTCTTAATAAAAATTTAAAAAAATTAAACAAAATCTTCATAAACCTGCTGACTGAAAATTTACTTATATTTATAAACTGAAATATATTACAAACTAATTGTATTGACTAGGGGGTCGCTGTGATGTTGATATCAAAAACGGAAAACCTAGTAAACTTTACAACACTATACAATGATAAATCTTTATTCACACATTGTTAACCTAAGGATACAATTGAATCTAGAGTACGGAAGACGTAAGAATAAAGAGAAGAGCTGACATAGCTTCAGAACATCACTTGATGATGGTCAAGATGAAACTCAAGCTGAAGAAGTACTTAGGAGTTTAATTCACGAGGTAGTGAAGCAAACGCGTGCCAACTGGAGAGTAACAGTAGGTTCATAGGCTGTTTGTTCTCTGCAGACCCCGGAGCCCATGTTCTAAAGTGGTTCGGGATTAGTATCTCGATTTCCCTGAGTGAATCCTCCGTACCCAACAGTCAGTCAGATGCAACGTAGAACTTCGTACGTAAGTACATCAGTTCATGTTGCCATACCACATTAGCACAGAGATATAATTGTCAATTCAAATCCAATAGTAGTAGAGGTAGTAAGGGAATTAGAAGTAATCGGAGAGGTTAGGGTTAGAAGATACTATTCAAGAAGTATGATACAGTGAGAAAAGTTTAGAAAGTCAAAACTAGAGGGGTTGAAGAATCCAGAAGATTAGGATTTGAGAGAACACAAAGAATAAATGCACCAGCGCCATTGCGAACGATTTTGAGCCATGTCATTCAAGGTCTCTAACCATCGATTATTATCATCTCGCGACCGTAGCTGCTACCTTGACGTGGTGGTCGGGCTTGGCTATCGTGATGACCCAACCGAGCTATACTGGCTGGAACATATGTTCCTGCAGGTCCTACCATGCCAGGCAGGTCGATTGGAGAACGATGAGACTAAAAGCAGCTACCCAAGGTCTGAGGGCGAAGTCGTACTGCTGACTGCAGAGGGGTGTGACAACAGTAAAGTGTTTCCCTCGGACAACCAGCATCTGCAGCGATGCTGCCTTCTCACAAGGAAGGAAGGGTTAGAAAAGGTCGACCCTAAAAATGTCACACCTCCCCTAACTCACGGATTTCTGTCTCCTTGGGTAAGGGTGCCCACTAAGGGCCTTTAAGAACGGAGCTAATCCTCTGTACCCAACTCTTTTTAGGCATCGGATATTCGCTTTTTGTCCTCTCAGTTTTGTAAAAAACACTCCTATAATGTAAATTATGTGAACAGGGCTTTTCTAGCAGAAGCTACATACGCCTGGCCTATAGCTATACCAAAGCATTAAGAGTCACACTACATTAGAGGCTAGTTTTAACCTAATATTAAAAAGCTGCTATATGTAATTTAGTACGGGGTTTTAAGAGACCAGGAATAATGTTTCGAGAGCTCGTACTGTTCGCTTCAGTGGTGTGAGGTGATAAACGATCGAAAGAAGGGTTGGTCGAGGAGATAGGAGAGTTATTAAGAGGTGTAGAAAGGATTTGATTGTGACCAATTCGGTCTCGTGTGTTTTTATGGATCATGTTGGTAGATGTAGGTTAAGTGGTTGGGGTCCACGAGATGATAATAATCGATGGTTAGAGATCCTGAATGACATGGCTCAAAACTGTCTGCAATGGAGCAGGTGCATTTACTCTTTCTGTTCTGTGAAATTCTAACCTTTTGAATTCCTCATCACTTCTATCTTTCTCTTTCTAAATTTACCTCACTGAATTATACTTCTTGAATAACATCTTCGAACCCTAATCTCTCCGATTGCTCCAAATAATTTTACTACCTCTACTGCTATGGGATATGAATTGACAACTGTGTCTCTGTGCTAATGTGGTATGGAGGACGCTGACAAAATGCAGAGTTTTCTGATCACCCTGAGCAACAATGTAAGCATGTTCGGGATGCGGTTTCCCCCTCGAAATGCAAAATGTTGCTTCAAGACTGGGTTGCATCAGCACCTGAACTAGTGATAGGGAGTGAAGTAGTCGAACGGGTAGACCGCCTCACTTATCTTGGGAGTCTCATCAGTGCCGATGGCCTGGTGACTGACGAAATCTCAGCTCGGATACAGAAGGCTCGACTGGCTTTTGCCAACCTGCGTCACTTATGGCGTAGGCGACATATCCGTTTGCTGACTAAAGGACGAGTGTACTGTGCAGTGGCTCGCTCCGTCTTACTTTATGGCTGTGAAACATGGCGAGTGAGAGTAGAAGATATTCGTGGGTTACTGGTTTTCGATCATAGGTGTCTTCGAAGCACTGCTCGTATATCGTGGGACACCCGAGTGAGCAACGCTGTTATTAGGAAACGGATGCTAGGTAAGGATGACAGATCAATAGATGAGGTGGTGAAAATTCATCAGTTGGTGTTTGGGACATGTGTTTCGTATGCCTAACCACCGACTGTCTCGTCGAGCTTTGTTTTGTAGTGTAGGAATAGGTTGGAAGAAATTTAGGGGCCGCCAAACCAAAACACGGCAGAAATCCATGAAGTCATTGACGAGTGGACTTAGCCATGTCGGTAATTGTCGACTACCTGGTTGGGGTCCGCGAGATGATAATAATCGGTGGTTAGAGACCCTGAATGACATGGCTCAAAATCGTTTGCGATGGCGCCGTTGCATTTGTTCTTTGTATTCTCACAAATCCTAATCTTCTGGATTCTTCAACACCTCTACATTTGTCTTTCTAAACTTATTTCACTGAAGCATACTTCTTGAATAATATCTTCTAATCCTCACCTCTCCGACTACTTCTAATACCTTTACTACCTCTTCTACTATTGGATTTGAATCGACAATTACATCTCTGTGCTAATGTGGTATGGCAACATGAACCGATGTACTTACGTACGAAGTTCTACGTTGCATCTGACTGACTGAACTTGAACTGCTGCATTTACGTGCAAAGTTCTACGTTGCTGCTGCTGATGATGAGTTTTAACCTAATGGAAAACGTACGAGTGAAAAGTTCGGTAGTTAGGTGGCTGATAACAGGCTTATATTTTGAAGATTATCCTATTAGCCTTTCTAAAAATGAACACCCAGATAACTATAAACCATTTTTAGACACGTAGAGTGTCATATCAACGAAGTAGTTAGTTGATAGCCAAGCTTCCAGAGAGAAACCATATTTTAAATCCAAAAAACAGCTTTAGGACTGCTGCTATCTCCTTCAAAATGAGCAGACCAAGTAACTACCCTCCATAGATGAAGAGGTCAAGAAACATCGTTCAAAAACTGCAAGGGAATAATTCATATCCAGTTACTGTGACTAGAGACGGAAAATAAGCGTAGACATTTAAAACTGGATTATTTTGTAAGGTAAAAGTGGTTTATGATGCTTAGGATGGTGGCACTAGTCTATTTCCACACCAAGAGTACAGAGATATGATGTTTTTTTTACCACTTTTACTTTAAGATGCACTAGAAATGAGGAGTAAAGATGCTGAGAAGGTTAAGGTTTATGACGGCATTTCAGTAAACCACTTTCCGTTGATGGTAAAAGGCAAGCCAATAATTCTGATGAAAGTATATTGATGGTAGTTGTTTGACTAATCTAACATCTCAAACGAAACAAGTTCGGAAGTCCTGAAGATAACCATCCCTAGATTATACCAGCTCAATCCGACACTCTCGCACAGGGAGTAATTTGTTACTCAACCGGTTGGAACTTTCAAGGTATTAGAAGGATTGAACTGATGGAAAGCATAATTTTTGATGTATTACTACATCATGTAAGGAGAACTTATCCCTTAGCTGAGGGGCAACATGATTCTGAGAGAGTGATTACGCTGTAACTGATGGTTCAGGTAGACCAGATATTTGCGGATGCCAAAAAAGCCTTCGGCGTGGAGCTTCAGAGTATATCATTAAGTTAGGAGATGAGCTATAAACTTTTTCAGTGGTATGATGCAATGAGTATTAGTGAACTGGCACTTAATCTGCACGGGAATCAGTAAAGAATACAGTATCTTAGGACACAACTCTGGATCCTTAAGTGTATTGTCTACTGGAGATAGCATATTCATGTACTATTGTTTGCTCATGACACAATAATGGCGATGAGATAGGGTTAGGATAAAATGTAAATGAATAAGCCGATAGTAAAAGTAAAATATAACAAAATCGTCGTAACCCGAGCCAGTTATAGTGTCAATTCACATTACTATACTACAAAGAATAACTCTACCTAGGGTTATAATCATAGCATTATGGGGTTACAGTAGGTAATTACTTGAGAACTTCAGCAGAGTCTAGTGCTAAAGGCTCTTGGATATTGTATAGTTTGGAACTTGGATGCAGATAAGTCTCATGTTGTGTACGGCATATTGGACCGCACTTTGGACCTAATTAGCGAATCTTTGTTTCAAAACTGAAGCAGATATGGTAAGATCAAAACGGTAGGTCTCCTTTATCCAAACCACAAAGACAAATGTAGACATCTTAACCTAATTTTAGTCCACCCAACGGTACTTCTCGGTATAAAGGTAGCATGAACATTGTATAAATGTCTTGTTTTTCTACAGAGCTGGCTCTTTATTAAGATGTGATCAGAAACTTTAAAAACTGAGATTGGACAGGTGGCGAATTTCTGATCTTTTAATCGAGTTGCGGATCCTTTTTACTAGAACTCTACCATTGGAGATGACTTTATACTTTCTGTTGTGTAGGACAAGACTAGCGTGAGCCTTAAAAGAATTATTAAGTGCAGGTATTAGGGAGGTTAATCAAGTATATTTATTTCTGGGAAATGAGTCCCATGTGCGACTCACCTTTGAAGCTGCTCTTCGATTTCATTGCACATTACGTTAAAGTTTGTGTCAAAATCATTTGGTGGTACTTCTGGGGTTACATCGCTTTTATTTATTATTCCAGAAGAAGTAAAACGAGGGGTATGTTTGTGTTCTAATGGTCGAGCCCCAATTTTACCGAAAACAGCTAGCTTTGAATCAATTTCGCTTTCCAGTACTCGAGCTTGTATTCTAAGTTCATCCCAGGTTGAAGGGATCATTCTACAATTGTTGATATTCAACTATTTGGCTATCGAACCACAAGAACCCGAAACATACACATTTGCGCTGGCAATTAAACGCAGATGTCGAATGAGGCGCTTGAAAATTTCAAATTCCAAGCTAAGAGAATGATTTTCGAGATCTGAATTTCAGTTTCTGAATATCCTTATTATTTTTTCATGTAAGATTAGAGGCTGAATTTATTCGAACCAAGCGTTCTTCAAACTTTAGTAACAGGTATAGGAAGTCAGGCGATTTATATGAAATGCTTCAAATGATCGTGGACAAAATGGAAGCTTTCATCTAACAAGCTTCTATGTCTAGTAACAGCAGATCATGGATGCTTATGGGTAGGAAATTAGGTATTTTTACCAAACAAGTTTCGGTTGTAATGAAGTAGTGTTCTGACTAACGAAGGCGATGAGTCAGTTGTTAAAGATAGGTGGAACGTTCTTTTTTCAGACTAGCCAAAGATGACTTCCAACGTTACCAGTGCAAGCTTTGCAATGAGCGTAAGACTTTAGCTCATAAGGTACCAAAACTACTAGGTTTTTTAACAAAGGGTATCTTTAGTGAGGAGTTCCCTTTTGTAGTGTGTGTACTAATTTGTCGAGTCCACATAGCTCCCAATATACAATGTCTTTTTCACGAGCTAGTATAAACCAGTTGATCACTTGCGCTTCATGCTTATTCTTTCGGTACGGTTCCAGGTGTTTGGTAGTGTCCAATGAATGGGGGTCTAGCCACTCGACTGTCTAATTCTAGTCAGTTGGCAGTTGGTTGTGAGTTTGTATGTCTCGTGATTTGAATCAAAACGTTTGCTTCAGGTCAGTAGGGTTTCTGGATACTAGCAGCTAACACATAGCCAGATCGCAGACCAGTTTGTTGCAATGTGGAGAATAATAACGACAAAATTCTAATGCTAATATGAATAAGAACTCAGAACTAAGTAAATCAATAGATAATTTTGTTTATTAATTGGTTGCGAAGATTATGAAAGGGGACCGAAGTGTAGGCAAGGGAGAGGAGACAGAGATAATATGCGAGATAGATTAAATGAGTGATCTGAGGAGATGACAATGATAACAACTAGCAGGTCTCAAGATATGCATCAGGCACAGCTTGTCCAAGAGGGAGATGATAGTCCGTATGTGAGTACGTGATTATCAAGTCTCTTCTTGAAGCTGTGCACTGAGGGTCTGTGGTCACCTCAGATGGGAGAGCATTCCAGGTTGCAAAGACTCTCAATGAGAAAAGTGTACACGAACCTGAGTATTCACTCTTCGATGTACAATTTTTCTAGGATTCCCTCGAGGGGAGTGACGGTGATGCACCGGTAAGATGCTAACTTTGGGATGGTTTGACGTGCTTAAAATGTTGTGCGCCATAATCACATCACCTCTGATTCTCCTGTAACTCAGTGGGAATAATCCCAAGAGTCTATCTTCGTAGGGTTTATTCTTCAACCCTATCACCCATTTCGTTGCTCGTCTCCGAACTCGATCCAAGATATTGATGGCTCTTTTAAGCAGAGGGGGTGCGATGGAGTTGTGAACCTCCAGATGTGGGCGCGCGTATGTCTTAAATAACGTTAAGAATAACTCTGGGATAATAGCAACAAGTTGTCTTCGTATAAAGTGAAGAGTTGTAACTGCCTTGGCTGCGTCCCTTATATAGTTCGGGCTCGTGTGGAGGCTTTTTATGGTTATTAAACCGAGATCACGCTCTGAGGAGACATTAAGGAGCAGACTTCCATTCAGGCTGTAAATAGTTTGCATCATGTGGGGGCAGAACACACATGACGCGATACTTCCGTTAGTTGAGTTTTAAACCGTTTGTCACTGCCCAATAGATGTAGGGTCCTTTTGAATCTCAGCTGAATCTTCTTCGCTTCTAATTGACGTCCAGATCTTCGCATTGTCTGCGTAGATCAATGCCGGTGAGCTGACTGAGCCTAATAGGTCGTTAATAAATCTCAGGAAGAGAAATGGACCTAAGATGGTCAGCAGTGACACTCCCGATGTGGATACTCGCCAGCTCGCGTGCACTCTATTCACCTTAGTACGAAACTTTCTATTCTCAAGGTAGTTTCTGAGCCAAGATACGAGTGGATCAGTGAAGTTCATTTTCGCAACCTTTGCGATTAGGCGTGCGTGGGGTGCTGTGTTCAAGGCTTTTGAGAAGTCGAGAAATATTACGTGCACCAGTATTTTCCGGTCCAAGCAGGATGTCCAGCTGTCCCATGCTATGAGAAGATTAGATGCACCCGACCTGCCTTTCCGAAACCCGTGTCGAGCTTCATGGAGTATTTCATTCATATCCATGTACTCCCTCATTTGTTCGTTCACCAGCCCTTCTATCTCTTTTGATAGTATTGGTAGTGATTCGACTAGTCCGTAACAGGCTGGATCCTTTTTATCTCCTCCTCTGAAGATTGGCAAGAGATAGAGTAGCTTGTTTCCGTTCAGCTGGGAGTTTATGTGACTCCATTGAGTGCCTGAACAGATCATATATCGGTGAATAGAGGACTTCTGCACATTGTTTCAAGACCATGGGGAGAACACTGTCACAACCTAGTGACTCTCCTGTGCTTAAGGAGTTTAGTTTTCATAGTACCATTATTACTATTCACAGATCTTTCCTCATGTCATGAATAAAGAAGTAAGCTCACGGGCCACTAAAGTAGTGAACCTATTTCCAGTTCAACGCAGTCCACAAAAATGGTGAGCCTTAATTACAATCAAACGCAGCCACACTACTTTATGCGTAGTCTACAACATGGCTCGAGTGAACTACTGTAGGCTTTGAGGTGTTAAAAATAAGTTCCTTGTCGTCCGTTCAACCTTGAAGTTGGACCCGGACCAGTGTAATAAGGGTGTCTTGAGATAGAAGGAAGCTTATGCATAAAAAATAGTCGCGAAGATCGTTGCACACGATGAACCCGGTAAGTAATAAGGAAACTAGAAAAGTGGTACACGTAGGTAGCTGGACTGTCTTAATGGGATTGTTAGCTATAAATTTTTGGGCAAACCTTCCAGGTGTCATGAAGTTGTTCAGTACACCTCTAACACTCCTTATTCATGTCCTTATGCCTGCTTACGATCCGACTTGATGATTCTGTGAATGTTTGCTGTTAGTCCTGTTCGTGTTTCATGTAACCACTCACTACATTTTTCCCACTGCGTATCAGAAATGACGGCAAAATGGTAGTTACGTTGCTCATACTTGCTCTTAGTAACCAAGACAAGATTCAATGTATCCACTTTAGATAGAACCGTTTTGTGAACCGTCACTGTTTTTATTTGCATTAGTAAACTTGCTGGAGTTGGTTTAAGGTTATAATCGATTAGGCTATTCATCCAGTTAATATCAAGTGGGCTCAAATCTCGTAATATCAGCTACCTGGTACTTTGCCCCAAAGATGAAGATGCTCCACCATAAAATCACGAATCAACTGGAGTATAGTACGACAGAAGACGCTAGATATACATTTACAACCCTCGAAAGTAGGCTTATGATCATTATTTTCTTCAGTCCCTTTGATTAGTATTGTCAGTTTTCTGGTATGAAATCCTGTCGGATTATCTGTTAAATAGCTCGACCTTTACTTATTCATGTGTGTTTGATTTTTGGACCAAGGTCTTTTGATTCGACCAAATTATTCACATTTACAAGTTAGGATTCAAAATATTCTCACTTTGGAATTGCTGCGGATGATTTTGACATAGAATCGGAGCCTATCAATTAGGCATTCACTGCAATTCTGAGTTTTTACTCTGTGACTCCTTGTTTCAGCGCTGCTGTCTGTTTCAGAATTTTTATCACCCCCCTGTATCAGCAAGTTTGTGCTCAAGCAGGAAAGTTCATAGAGTAAACAGGATTTGTGATTTAAACATATTTTATTTATGCTTGGTCATTTTACGACATTCAAGAGATAACCCAATATCAGCAAATGGTAAGTGTAACCAGTGACACAATAACAGGACAAACTGTCCCTTTACGTTTCCGCCCAGCTAACTATAAGAAAAACTCTAACCAGGTAGGAAACACAAACTGATGGTAATAAGAGGAGTTTTTTGTGCTAAAACAGGAAGTTCAAGTTTCCATGGATACATTATAAAGTTAGGAAGTTTACCGAGAGATTTCTTGGGATCCAGCTTTCTGAAAGCAAAACTACAGACAAAAATACCTAAGATCTCGGTAAGAGAGAGAATAGACTAAAAATGGAAGGCTGAGAAACATCTTTAGTCATCATTGATAAGGATAATAGGTTTTTTTATCTGAGTTGGGTCCGATTCGTGAGAGAAGCGAAATCCCGCTCTAAGAGTGTTTGATCACGGTGCTATGTTTTCGGAGACGATTAGCCATAAACGGAATAAGATGATAAATGATGACAGTGAAATCATTGTTAACTGTAACAAATGTCAGTAGAAGGGCATTTTATGTTCTGCGATAAGCATCAGACTTCGGATTTCGGTTGGTGATATATCTTTTCCTTGACATCACCTTGTAAGTAGTGGAGGAGCCTTTTCCGACGAGTGAATGGTAGGGTTCTTGGAATGTTTATTTTGAAACTAAAGTGTGAAACAATCCACTTATAGATAGTGCGGTTGGTCGTTGAGTGAAACTTGGTGTAACCGCCCATATTAATGTCGAGAATTCATGTGTAAGATCCTCTCGAAGTGATAATAATATCGTCCCATAGTTAACTAAGTGTGATCAGGAAAAAAATCTTGTGCTGGTTCTGTATTGTTCTAATTGACATCCTTTTCTGTGTAGCATATCACTGGATCGAATTTGTGATCTTTTATGGTTGAGGAGGTAATGAGCGGAACCATCTAAAGTAATCATACTCCTCATCTTGTTTTTATGTCCTGCAACGATTAAAAATTTGCAGGTCTCAGGAGATCCATGCAGGGTATGCTTTTTCTTTCAAGTACCTTTTTCGTTGCTCTTGCCTGAAAACGTTTGAAGAGAGCCTTATCCACATTAAAATCAGAGAACAACTTAGGAGCCTTTTCGAATGAGATCTAAATTAATCACTAAAAACAACTGTGAATAATTCCAGGGTCAGGGTTTATATCGTTCAGGAAAGAATCATTGAAGTATGTACGATCGCCAAGTGCTTCTACTCTTCATTAGTATTTCTAGACCTAGGAATAGCCGCTTGTATACATCCTAACTCATGTGCTCCAGGATCATCAGTGAACGAAAAATTCTCAAAGGAGTTTCCTACTCTTCAGGAGCTTCTGGTTTTTCATCTTGTAGTGGAACACTTTACGAAGAAAACGCGATTGGTGAAAAATAAACATTTATTACTGTACTTGTTTTGTTTAACTGTACCAAAAACACTTTCTTGAGCGCTGCATTGCTGCCATTTTTCATAACCTGCTGCTCTCGATGTAGTGCCTACTTTCTCCTTCAATAAATATTCGAACATGGATTTATTTCTACAGTATGTGACGGGACGGTATGGAAGATTTAGTGGTGATGATCATAGTCAATCTCCACTCGGTCACCACTAAAATCTATCCATCGTGGTGGTTCGGTATAATTTATTCAGAATTGACCTTGGAATCCCCCTCCCAAGTGTAGTCTTGGCTTTATTCCCCTTATCATCAGCCCATAGATCTACATTTACTAGCTAGTATTTTTCTGTAGCTTCATCCATGACTACCGTAGTATCTGAGAACCAAATATTTGGACGGCAAGGAACACATTCATATTTTATGCCATTATTTATATACGGAGCTAAAACTCTTCACCAGAAGGAGCTGGAAATTACGGCCCATGATATCATTTTAATAATTTTTGAAGAAACGGTATCACAAATATGGTTCCAGTTCTAAGTTAATACATGCCAGTTCTACGACATACTGTACAAAGGTACACTGAAGAATGATCAGAAACAGATAATAATCATGGGACTAATTCGCCGATATACAGTTCGTTGCATTCAACATTTATAATGCAGTGAAACTATAGGCCTAATAGTCATAAATAGTAAAGAATAGCCTAAAAAAAGAATGTTGCAACACCTTTAAATCTTTATAGTTCACAGGTGGTGGCCAATAAAGCAGAACAGTGAGTAGCGGAGGTAGAACTAATTTAAGCATCAAAGTGGTAGCGCAATTAATCAGGCAATTAATGTTCATCCACAGTTGGTACAAATAAACAACAGTTAAAAAATGTATTTGTGATAATACGAGGAGACGGAAGATATGATTTTTACTTTGTAACTACAAAAATGATTAAATGTTCGAGTCGACGTTGACTATGAACACGTCTACAAACCATTTACGTTTGTGTTTGAAGCGTAACCCCGTGATGAATTATCAAGAAACTAGGCCGGAATTTTCCAGGTGAAATAAGTATATTTGCTGGCGATTCCGTGGTGTCGAAATGAAATCATGCCAGAGAAAATGGACAAAAGGTACAGAGCAGGAAAAGCAAGCTAACGACCGCGCAGAAGCAAAATGTGGTACGAAAGTACGAATAAATAAAATGTTTGGTAAAAAGTCCACTGGTACAGTTGGTTATAATAATGAATTTTTCTATTTAAGCAGTCGTGTTTTCTTCGTAAAAAAGAAATCACTAAAAGCTCGAAAGAATATATTGTACTGAAATTAAAATATCGCCTTCAAGTATGTATATAACAATTATTACTCCGTAGAGAAATACAACATCTTACGCAGACTAAAATTAGTTGATCAATAGATGTTGAGATTTGAAACAAAACCTGAAAGTCATATGGTGACTCCACATTTATGAAGAGAAACGTTCATGATTACAACCGATTGTACCAATTATTGTTTTACTGTACCATTTGTTTATTCCTTCTCTTTACGCGCAAACTTTCCGTTTGTGTTACTGTCATTTTGACTCCACTGCTCTTCGTAACTTTGCCCCTCTTTTCTGGCACGATTTCAGTATTCCTAGGATAGCACGAAATCGCCAGCAAATATATTCCCTTGTATGGATTAACTTTTCTTCTCTGTCCTTGATTGATGGAGATACTATATTCAGTGATCGGAACGTAAATGGTCTGTTGTGGTGATCATAGTCAACCGCGACTCGTCCCACTACAGTCTTTTCATATGAATTTTATGAACTGAGCTTTATCTAGCCTTCTTTAATCTGATTTATAATCAACTGACTCATATGTTTTCCAAACTTATCTGTACTTGAAAACTTTTATACTTAGCTATCAGTAGAAATCTGTTTTAGTTATTTAAACTTTATGTATCAACTTTCTAAATGAGATGATTTAGTTTATCTTTACTTCTTTATCTGTGTTACGTTCGAAGTACTCATGCTGATATTCATAGACTACAGTTAGCTAGTTTCAGTTTCTATCACTAACCAATACAGCCTGTGCGTTTTTAACCCTCACCAACTGACTAACGTTTTACAAAATATGTGGATTTATTACTGTAAAGCCGGAAGACAAAGTCAGACAAACAGCAAATTTCTTGTTGTGTATGAGCTGAGTATATCTGACTCAGTTTATGTTAGTTACGGACACTAATCTTTTATCCATGAGTATCTCAAGCCTGATAGGATACACCAGTTACAATACTATTCACGATAACTAAAACCGTACACATATTGTGACCATAATTTGTATTTTCCGGAAAGATTTAAATGAAGCTCTCACAAGTTAGCATGAAATCGAAGGAAGGATAAAAGAATATTTTCGATCCTTTATAATGCATACAGTCAAGCATCAAAATGTGTCATCAACAAACATTCAAAGTTGTGTTTTGCAATACGAAAATTGAAAATGTGACATTAAAATTTTGTTTATCTTTAAATATTCTAAGTTAATTTTCGCTTTACAAATACAATCATCGGTCAAATTTTCGAAATATTCGAAATCTTATATATCTAACTTACGCTTTTGATTATCAAATTATTGTAGTTTCATGATTATATTATTGCTAATCGTTGTTAACTACTTTCATTAATTAAATTCAAGGGTATCGTACATGCCTACTTAATGGTTGGATCAATTTCTCACATGAATGTTACAATGATAGATTTACTCTCACAGATGCTACTATGTACACCCTGCCAACAAACAATGTACCTTCAGATTATGAAGCGCTTTTTAAACCAAGTTAAATAGATTTTAACATGAGTTATAACTGCTGGAAAACCAGTCCATGGTCTCGCTCAACTCCATCGACTGTCTTTGGTTATCACTGCTCCACACCCGAATAGGGTTAAACTCTACTGGTCACAACTTCTTACTTGAACCGTTAGATACTGGCTTTGTGGTTTAGAGATTAGACGTACGAGCGCAAAGCTAAAGGTTCTGGGTTCAAATCATGCAAGTATCGGTAGTCATGGCTGCGCACAGCTGATGAGTCCCATACCAGGATGAAACGGCAGTTCAATTGTAGTGCCTCCACAGATATTCCAGTTCGCTTACATCTAACTTGATTAAGCCCTTTCGATTAATTTATTTAACCAAGCCATTTGCGTAGCCACTACTTCTATGTACCATTGGTTCTTATTATTGTCTGGTTTGTATGAGTTCACATGACATGTCCCACTTGTCATTTGATCTTGTCAAACATTCGTAGCTTTATTCATGTATGTGCATGCCTATCTCGTTGATCACATGTCTGTCTTGTTATTGTCTGACTATATATTCTTAGTCATGCTCTATCTCTTTGAGTTGGCTCTTAGCCTTCTCCAATTCGCTTCTCCGCTTCGCTTTGTGGTGTGTCCCGAATAAACGTATTCATCAATACGAGTTCACCTACTGATTTATAAACCGAGCTATAAGAACACGCATTAATTCGACTCACTACAAAATGGTGAGCCCGACGTCAACTAAAATCGACACACTACACAATACTTTCAGGTTTCTAATGTTAGTCCAACATTGGTTGACTCATGAATTCAAAAAATAACTCAACAATCTTCACAATCCTATCATGCGGAAAAAAATACTGACAACTCCTTTTGTTTATGAATATTTTGACCAATATATTAACAATAAAAATGTTTATGCCTCCACAGACACGATGAATACGATAACTTTGAGTATTGTACAGTTGTTTTTACCGGCTTCATTTCAATCAAATCTCTACATACAGTAGAATTATATCATCAACTGAGAACTTATCTTACTTGATCGATTTCTTAAATCAAAGCTTTGCCAAATGGAAGTTGAAACATTACAAATGCAATCCTCATTCATTTTTATTTTCATTCCTTTTTTTTGTCTGCTTAGTTCGTTTGTTCAATTTTCAGTTGAAAAGTTTATGATTATTATTATCATCCTTATTATTACTAACTTTCAATCACTTTAAGTTGTGGTTCTTTCTTGTTTTTGTCTTTCAATATAAAAACAACAAAATGATTGAACAAAAACTTGTGTGTTTTCTAATGTCTATTCATATAGTCTTCGGACAATAATCAACAATCATACCCCAAAACTGTTAAAAAAAAACAACACAAGGATACAACAACTGTTGGTGGGTTCTGATGGGTGTGTCTTTTCCTAGGGGAAATTCTATCAATACACACTTATCCCAAAAAAAAAATTGACTAATACTCTGACATCAATTGTACTTGAAATAACAAATTAAAACACACACACACTAAAAACAAGAAGTAAACGCCTAACTAATTCATAAGATAACTAAAGAATTTCACATTTGACTTAAGGTTTACAATAATATTAGTAATAATAATAATAATAATAATAATAATAATAATAATAATGGTTGTATGAGCAAGACTTGTACATAGCCCACCAATTCACAATAACACTACTTATATGCAATATGTAGTTGTGTATTGTCATTGGTATGTGTGTGTATATACATCTAACTTTTGTCTATAATTAAAATTAGTTGAGTAATTTTTAAGGATTAACCAATCATAAGCAATGGGATGAAATTCCCTAGGTCAGCAATAATAGTTGATTATTTATTGGTTTAAATGTTGTAGATTATGTATATATATATACATTACCATTAAAATTTCCCAAAATAAACACATAAATGAAATAATGTAGTAATTCAGTTTTAATGTATTACATTTTTCATGATAAAAATAAAACTTTAGTTTTCATATAATCGATTTTATACGACACTAATCGGATTGTAATATATATATATTAACACGAAACAAAAAAAAACAAACTACTGATAAGTAGTATGGAATGGACAATTTCAATGTTCAATAATAATATTGAACAAAACTACTATGGTGAATTTTCATTATTCCAATAAAGATTTATTACAAACTACAACACAATTCACTTCACCGAATCAACATGATTATTGTCTTCTTAGTCATGATGACAATGCGAAACATTTAAATGATACCATTGAATGGGATTTGTTGAAATCAATAGAATTGAATAATGAACATATTGAATCGAATTCAAATTCTTTTGTAAAAAAACAACAACAACATAATCTATTAAGTCTTCCAAATCATGCTAATCATCAATATAAATCACCAGAAATCGATAACAATCATAACAATGATAATGATACAACAACAATAGAAAGTTGGACACCATCAACAACTGATCAATCATTTGTAATTAATCATCATCATCATCATCATCAAAAATTATTATTTGATAAAATGAAAACTTGGAAATTGTATAGAAATACTAGTCCATTAAATTATTTTCATAATGTTGTTAATTCAACTAGTAATGTGGATAATTTTCTATCTGATAAACAACATTTTATACAATGTAGATATAGAACATTTGAAGATTTGCCTAAAAATCAATCGGATGAACATGTAGCCACGGTACATGTGTTCAATCGTTATTTATTGAACAATGAACAATGTGCGGATACAGATCAATTAGGAATTTTAACACCAAATACTTATTCATCATCACCTCAGATAAATGAAAATGTGACAGAACAATTTATTACACCGACAATTGTTAGTGAAGAGGATATGAGAAAATTAGATGATTGTAATCAAGGTGAGTAATCTATATATATATATTTTTAGACTCAATATAATTAAATTTCTCGAATAAAAGGTATCTATCATTACTCTACTGTTTACTTGATACTATGATTTTAAATTAACCTTTTTATTTGTTTCGGAGATGTTTAAAGCTTTGTGAAATCGAGTTGTTTTAATGTTTACATGTTGAAATGTTTCATTAACTGTTGTTCAACAGATCAACCGATCAACTCTGTTGAATGCCGACTCAATGGTCCAGAGGTTAGGTGTTTTCGCGCGTAAGATTGAAGGTCTTAGGTTCAAATCCTGAATGTAGTAAGAGTCGTCAATGTGCATTGCTCATGAGTCCCGAAACCAGGACGAGACGGCCGTCTAGTGCTTTAAGGTTTTCGTTAATGGTCTAACAACGATTGATTCATGATTTAAATGAGTAAAAGTTTTCAATACTGTTAATTACAAACTGAGTGTATATTAGTTTTCCTTCTGAGAATAAAGTTTCATGATCACATGAAAATGACAAGTCAAATTTCCTAAAAAAACATGTGAAATTTTCTGCGTTGTTTCATCATGTGATTTAATTGAGAAGCTTCTGTTCTTGTTCAACTTCTAACTCATAAAAATATGAGAAAAATGTGGAAGAATCACTCATAAACTGTTGATATTTTTTTATGCTGACAATGAAATATTCGAAACTGAATCGTCTAGCTTAGGGAACAAAAGAATACTGCTGGCGTCTGTAACCACATTATCTCATTTCATGTTTTGAAGTATATACATGATGACGGTTTACTTACTACTACACAGGAAAAATATTATTTTGATATTTGTATGTATAGTGTTGTAGTTGAACTTCCAGTATTTACGTAATTCAGAAAGATTAGTTTTTAAATTAAAAACATAATGTAACGGTAATTTTAATTAAATATTCTTTTTGAAAAAGAAATTGTATTTCGTATGGTGAATTTTTCTGAATGAATTCAATAATTTATAATTAACAATAAACAAAGGAATATTTCATTTCCATTTTGCACTAAAGTACTGTAAATATGGTAGCTTTACATTAAAAATCATGAATGAATCATTGTTAGACAACCATTAGAAACCTAGAAGTACTGAAAGACGGCCGTTTCGTTCTACTATGGGACTTATCAGCAATGTACATCCATGATTACCACCACTCACGGGAATCGAACCCATGACCCTTGGTCTTGCGCGCTAATGCTTAACCTCTGAACCACTGAGCAGGCATCCAACGGTTTTTAGGCATAACTCTAATCTACCTAAGGAATGTTGGCAACCTCACCTATTGTCTTCGGTAGTCAGAGTTGACACTCGAAGGTTCTGGGTTAGAATCCTGTGAGTAGCTGGAGTCATGGATGTGCATTACCGATGAGTCCCATACAAGGATGATACTGCTGTCCAGTGCTTTAAGGTTTCCGTTAGTGTGTGGTGCTGTGGTGCGAGCTACTTATAAGTAGTATATGACGTGAGTGTCAACGTAATGTCTGGCAGCAGCAGGTGGGAGAAGATCAAGAAAGGAAGAGTTAGAAGAACACAATGGAATTTGTATGAAACGCATGAATAGTGACAATGGATTGATGTTTTGCATCAGGAACAGTCCAGTTCAATATGATGGACTGATATTTTGCAAATGAACGATTTACGATATGGTTTTCCAATTTTACTGAGTAACTCTGTAATTTTCGTTCATTACAATTCGGTTGCCCCACCTGTGTTCTCGTTCACTACAAGTGGTCTAACAATCATTGATTCACTAATGGTTTTATTTTCAACATGAAAAATGCTTATAAAATCATAAGCCGTTAATATAGAAGTAATTCTATTTATTAATATTTCATAACAATTATGTTTCTCTACACAGATTTATTATTCAATGTTCAACACAATATATTAGCATGAAATGGTTGTTTGTGTAGATTTATTTATTTCAAAGAGAATTTTCTTGTCTTGTATTCATCTATTTTAAACAAAATAGATTAATACATCAAAATGAGTCATTTATATGCAATAAGGTTAATTTACACAATCGTTGAAAACTAGTAATGGAGTGTTGATTTTCCCTAAACATTATTGATAATATAAAGTGAACACTAATGTTAAGTTGACATAATGGGCGTTTCTTGGAATTATCTCACTGTTAAATAACAAAACAGGTTGACAGATTTGGCTAATACAATTTTTATCAATGTGTTAAAGTTCTCAGTTTAAAGTGTCTAATTTTTTCAACATACAATCCTTAGTTAAAGTTATGTGGAGATATATTTTTGTTAAAGTAGGCTGTTAATTTGAATCCTGAGGCGAATCAAAGTATCTTTTTAACATATATCTGATTCGTACAGTGTTGGGGACGTTAAATCCCCAGAATTCATTTGGGAAAATTTCCCAATTTTGTAATTTATTTCTAAAATTTTAATTTCTCATGTTTTCGCGCATAAGCTGCCTAGTTGACCTTCAGCTTACATTTGTCACTCGGAAAATCCTTGAATGTTATTGATTGATAGATTATTTTAGTACATTATTTTGTGGCTCTCCCTAGGGCGTTTCTCTCATTGTATAAATAAGCTTGATTTGTATGCTTAGACATCTCGTCTTTTCTGGGTACTTGTATCTGAATACATTCTCTACGCCTTACTAAGACATCTTGATCTAGTTAGCGAGGTTTGGTACAATCAGATTAGAAATAGCCTATCTTGTCACCGCATCATTTATCTGCGCTCCATTTACCGAGTAAGGTGAACTGGTTAATAGTTTCACGCATATCGATTGACGAGCATATTAACAGTGAAACCAAAAAATCTAGTCTTTCAACAAATGTACAATATTTTTGATTTAAAAAAATCTAATCCACCTATCATTGAATGTATGGCGTCAACTTTAAGAAATCCTGAAGTAGTACTTTTTTGAAAATTGTAATAAAAAGAAGTTTAAGACAACAACTTAAAGAAAGTAATACTGATGGGTTGATCTTATTCAATGAACCACTAAAAGGTAAAAGAAGGAAGTTGTTCCTTTAGAACCAAGTACTCTTATAGAGTACTGTATCATGACAATATTTTGCATTGACCACAAGAATTTCAGGTCTTCTGTGATATTTACAGACTAACCCTTTCGTACTTCATATACTTCACTATATCATGAGATCCATCTAGATTTTCGTCTTGTGAATAACTGCCATACATTTTAAATGGCAGTGGATTTCGTTCAGTAGCTATTTTTTTTCCAATGATTAACTCGTTTCAATAGGTAAAAAATTTTGACTCTTTAAACTGTTTTTATTACTTAAATTTTCAAGTTTAAGTTATCATTTATAAAAAAGATTTACTACAAACTACAGTTAGATAATATGAACAATAAATTTTAAAATGATAGGAATCTAAATAAATTTGAAATTCATCAAACAAATTGTCGATAAAATAAATATGTTACTGAAATAAACAACAATCAGTAGAATAGTATAATTCTAGTATATTCAATAGTTATAACTATAATCTAACTAACCACAAACTATCAAGGTAATATAACAGCTTGTCGAAGTAAAACTCCACCTGGAGCCCTTCTAGGGTTACTCCCGGTCCCAAGCCAGGATAATAGAGGCGGGTTAAGCGACCCCATCACATGGAAAACGTTAACCAGAAAAATTATTTGCTAGTTGGAGGTGTAAGTAAGTAAGTTGTATCAACTATAATTTGACAATGATTATCATGAAGAAAACTAAGTTGTTGTACTATTCTGTTGACTGTTCTCGTTGTTCTTTGATATACTGGAGTCTAGTTCTGATTGAGATAGAATTGAAATTACTATTTTATATAATATTATTCAAGTTATAATTGTTCCGATATTTTCGTCTTGACTCATTGTAAACCACTTCTTCAGACAGTGAGTTAAAGAATTGAAATAACCCAAGTTTAAAGCGTACAATCAAAGAAAGCAAAAATATTTAGTACAATCAGTTGATCGATCAGTCAATAATAAAACAGATCTGACTAAGTCAGTGTTATATCACTCTCATCAAAGTGATTCATATAAAATGTGTTTGTGTTAAAAAATTGTTAAAAATGTGACATTTTGAATTTGAATTTGTATATATGTTAATAGTGTAAGATGTGTATGGAATCAGTAGTGGATAGATGCTCAAAGTCGGATGGATAGTAAGGCATCGAATGCCTCAGTTGTACGCCTTTCTTTGTAGGTGGAAAAGTTTTTTTTTGAATTATTCTGATATTTTTCATTTTGACTTGACGGTTAATTTAATTTGGTATCCTTCAAGCTCTACGTGATTATTAGGTGGTTGCTTTGTGTACCTCAGATGTTCTTTAGCTCGAGTCAATACAGAAGGCGTCATTTATCAACACATCCTAACCTATGGACACAGTTTTGTGTGGATCTTATCTTTTATACAAACTAAAGCGTTAAGAAGGGTGATAGCTGTCTTGTACTATGCTTGGTATTTCATTCAAACCATTGTTTAGTAACGAATCGTTTTTCTATTTTACGTCCTTAATGATATCCATAGGAAAGCTATTAAATTGTAAGAGGTCAGTCATATGTTTCTATTCTTTTTTGCTTATCTCTTTCACATCTGGTAGTCTTGGTTCCTAGATTTAGCGTCAGAGAGAGTTTTTCACAGTCTAGTATTCTCTAGTTTTTGATGGTATATCCAATTTCTGGCTACTTCGACCCACATATGTGTAATTAGTTGAATTAAATAGGAAATTATTGAATATAATGTCATAGTTAGAAAACAGATGAATTAGGCGTTTAAACTAGATATCAACATTCTTTTAGTGATCATTCATTTCTTTCGCTAGTTTCTTATGTATACGGTTGATAAGTCTATTTAACTCATCATAATTCAATTTAGAATAGTTACAGAGAAGTTTTCAACTTGGTTTTTTTTCTTCGCAATCAATAGTTATCAGTAAAATTTATCCACAAACTAATAGAAATTGTAGCTTTCATTGATTTAAACAAAAATTTTACAGTAATATTAAT